CCCCAAAACCCCAAAACCCCAAAACCCCAAAACCCCAATCTTCTCTCCTAAATTAACCTTAAAAAATGGAGCCTCTCCTCCCCCAAAACCCCCTCCTCCTCTCCAAACTCAGCATCGTGCTCAACATCCTCCCCTACTACTCCACCTTCAACAAATGGAAGTCCCTCCTCACCCACCTCTGCACACACACCCGCAAGCTCTGGTCATCGAACACCTCCGCCTTCAGAATGTACGCTCTCAACTGCTTCAGCAAAATCCTGACTTACTGCAGAGAGGAATTTGACCAGGAATTTTACGACTACTTGAAAGGTAATGGATGCGTTATGGTTTAGGGCAGGAACAGAGGTGAAGAGTCAGGATTGATCTGCGGTCAGCGGATAGTTATGAGTTGTTCCAGGATTTACTCATTGAGATGGAGGATAGAGAGGTGAGAGTGGATTTGCAGTGTGTTAATGTGTATGTGGAGAGAGTGCAGCTAGGGAGGATTAAATGGGTGATGAAGAGTTTGAAGAAGTTGGATATTGATGTTGGGGTCGTTAAGCAAGCGAATTTGTTGGATTTTTAAGAGCGAGAGGGAGTTGGTAGAACATTTTGGGACTAGTATTGATTATATTGGAAATATTTATGTTCTGAATGCTTTTAAAGTTAAAGAGTGTCATACCTTGATAGTTCCTTCTCTTATTCATTTTCAAAAGTAAGATTTTTCTTAATACAACAGAGTTGACCTGATCCTTGAAAGGATTCATACACTTGAAATTACTGAGACCCAATTACAAGGGATTAAGACTTCAAAAATAGTCGGATTTATTGAATGTAAATGTTGTATTAACAAATAGCTTCGTTCCCAAAATAATGTCCGAACTACTGCTAAAGAGCTGAAAATAATGCTTCAGAAGGGATTCAAGAGTTTTGACATGTACCTGGCCAAACTTCATCAAGCATTTCCAAGTTTATCCATACTCTCATTTCATAATAAATCTCCATCTGAATATATTCTATCCAATCGGATGAAGGAGTACACTGGGCTTTGGTATAACTTAAGTTTTGGTGATAAGAAGGAAACACAGAGGTAGGTCTTAGCCTCTCAAATGTTTAGTTATTTTGTCCTCAATGATTGCCAAGTGCTGGTCAAAAGTGAAGATAGTAAAGATTTCCAAAAAGTTGGTAAGTATTACACATTTAACCCTTAGAATGTGAAAGACTTGAAATTAGAGTGGTCGAAGGTATCAGCTCTTTATGTAGCTTTGAAAATCTCCTGATCATAAAATACTATGATTTTCTTGAAATAACACACTGTCAGATACAAACTCTTGAGGAAGAAGAGCAGGATATAATCACTTCTTTAATAGAAAGAGACAAGATCCAAATATATGGAACTCCTATAATCATAAATATGAAGGATATCTCACTCTATGGAGGCTCTATTTCTAATCTTAATTATTTGAATCTAAACAATACTGCAATCTCTAAATTGAAACTCAGTCTGAAACACCCTATAGTTGGAGATGATTCGTTTGAAATAATCGAGTCTATTCCTGACAAAATAGAGATGATAGATGAAAATGCAGTGGGACCTAACAGACTTCAAAATGACATCAAAATTGATTTAGAAATCAACTTAAAGAACCTGCATAAAAAGCATGAAGCAGTCCTAGTCGCCCTCTTGCAGAAGAACATAGATGTAATAAGTATGGAGTGTCATAAGCTACATCCAGTGGTAGGACCTCAGCTCTCAGGATTATTTGAGAACTTGCATTCTCTCGAAGTTCTAACAATCTGCCTTGAACAATGTCCCAAAATTACCTTTATCTATATAACTAAGCACGGGAAGAGACTTGATATGAAGATCTCTGTTGAAAGAAGTCTCGAAGGCAAAGTCACGCTTGATATGCAGGATATGAACGTAGAAGACTACCTCAGTTTTGACTAAGGAAACATATTTACAATTCCAGATTCAATCCTAAGATTTCTATTTGGGGTTTTGGGGTTTTGGGGTTTTGGGGTTTTGGGG